GTACCCCCCCCCCTTCGGGGAGTTGAGAGATCTTTCCTTCCAGTCCTAGATGGGCCAATAGCAAAAAGGTAGGCCCTGGAAAGGGGGGGAGGGTACCATATAAATGTATATGTTTAAACAAACACCCAAATGGATCGGATTCCAACTGCGAGCCAAAGCCGCTGACTTTAGTGTTGCCAAACATGCAAGCCACCTGCTCAAATACCCATGACTGCAGAATATGTTCACTTTACAGACGGTTCCCTTGGGTGGCTGAAAACTCCGGACGAACCGCAAATTGTGTGGTTGCTTTCTTCTATAAACTGACACTTGAAGGGGTCGTGTTAACCCCGCATTAATATATTAATCGACCCCAGTTTATTAATATAGGAGTGTTCCCCCTCCAAAACTAATACACCCACACTAAAACCAGGCACACCCTACCAACCAACTGGGGTTGATTAGTATGAGGTCAACGTTAGCTCATCAGCCAGCTAACAAACCGCCTGCAGCTCGCGGATCTCGCGGCAACCTGAGGCCCCCGCAGCGCAGCACGGCGCCAAAAGCTGCGCGACGTCACGTAAAAGTTCGACCAGAGGATCGTCTGCCTCTCGACACCACCGCCCCACCCCCCGCCCCCGGGCCCGCGAGTCAGTAGCAACTACATTGTGATTACTTTAGCCCACAAAACGAAAGAACGGAGACAACCTCACATACAACCCTGAAACAAAGATACCGAAAGAACAACAATCTCATGCAAACTCACTTTAACACACTAAACATGAGGCAGAAAAGTACGTATGATGAACACACAAAACCACGCGCAACATGCTTCATCCGAGAACGAAAATGGTGCCAGTGTTCGTGCTGGCTGCGGGCTGCTTTGGCTCCGCGCCACGGAAATCTGGCGACCATGGAAGAGGCCTGCGTGGGCGCGATCCCGGCACCCCGAATTGGAGGAAATGCAAAGGGCCAGCCCAGGGACCATTGGTCCATGCAAAACCCTTTGTGGGGTGTACGACTTTTTGAGGGCCTTCTTGGGTAAGGGGAATACTTTACCGTTTTCGTGAAGCTCTTTTGGGGTTGACCCGTTTGGTGCGTACGACTTTTGGAGGGGAAATGAGGGGAATACATTACACTTGCCAGGAGGGACACCGATCAATTGGCGCGTTCCTATTCGGACACATACCCTCCATTTGCTTAAGTCTCCTGGACAAAAACCGCCAGTAGCAACTAAAAAACAGCGGAGGAAATACAACATCCTCTTAAGCACATGGAACATACCCACCCAATTCGAGCGCGGAGCATGCCAAGCGAGGACACCGAACAACTAGGCCGTCCCCGTCCAATGCATTCGCCTTGTGCACACACAGGCTCAAAAAACCTAACTGCGCAACGTCTTTGGCGGGGTTTGGTTGTGAGCATCACTCCGTTCCCAAGGCTTGGTTCAGGTTTAGGCGCCGACATAAATGATCATTGCGACGCCTGGTCCGCTGCTCTCCCGCCGGGAGAAAAACACCAAGGCCAAACAAGGCAAACAGCAGCGATGCCTCAAAGCAACCACAACTTCTAGACAAACCCGTGCCCTCTCCCCCAACAAGCAAGAACCCATTTTGAGTCCTTACTAACATGATGAAGACGTTCAAGTGTTGAAGCGCTCGTGCAACCTGAGTTCTGAAGAAACTGTTTTGAATCCAATGAATATGCGGCTGGAAGGAGGTTGAGTCTTGAGTGCTCAAGGAACTCTAGCAAATAACAAGGTTTCAACAAAACAGCCTCAATTCGCCAAAGGCCCCATGAACCACCGTTTTCGGCTTGGGGTCATGCGCAAACATTGACCAACCATTGCACGCACAATGGTCAAACAAAAAACTGGCTTTGGGAAGGTGAGCTTAACAAAACAGCTTCAACAAACGTTTTTCACAAACGGCTTCAAGTTGTGCCACCTGCTGAAGGCTTCCAATTTTCTCCGCCTGGAAGCTGCTGGGCGCTGGCCAGGGCGACCGCCACCGTCTCCATCTTCAGCACCAGGAACCTAACGCAGCACGGCCCGGGGGAACTGCGTCTACCTCTTGGGGGGCCACCTATGCTTCCCCTGTGAGGATAAAGGCCGGAAATCCACGCCTATTCATGGCAAAAGGGCTTCCCCCTGCCCTTCAGCCAGGGATATCCAAGTTGCTACTGTGTATGTATGGGCAAACTCCTGCACCAGTTGGGATGGATTGCTAGACAACAACACCAACGTACAAGCCTACAATAATAGTGTCCATCCACAGGGGTACACACCAGAAATTGGCGGCTTAAGATAATGGAATGCAAAAACGAAGGGTTATCTATCAAAAGCAGCCCGAAATTTGTCGGGGGAAGGGTGGAACCCCAAAACTGCCAAAAGGCAATCTTGTAAGCTAAGTCCATGTTTCTTCCCCTTTCAAATCAACCGGTACCGGAAAATTCGGACGCCCCAAATCACCCCACCCCTTCTGAACCCCAGTGGCACCAGCCCGGAGCAGGGCAACTCCTGGAGGCGCAGCTCGTTCCGACCACTTCTGGACAAACACGCCGCCTGAGGGTCCACGGCGCACTTCTGGCACTCAAAGACCGTGCCGCAGATTACCTGACGCCGCAGTTGAAATCCAAACTCATGAGCTCATGAGGTGTGTCTTTTGCTCTAAGGTCTAGGGTTGTTAGACATCCGGCCGCCACAACCCGCCCACCGCCAGAGCCTGTGACAGACAGCTGCGGCAGAGCCTGTCACAAATGTGACAGACAGCTGTGACAGAGCCTGGCAGACAGCTGCAACAGCTGCGACAGTCCGAAGACTGAGGCGTTGGTCAAAGCCAGGGCAAGCAATGAGCCCTGATGTTGCATATTCCAGGACCAGGCTTGCAAGCGCTAAGCGTGCAAGGAGCACAAATGGCGCCTCTAGACGGAACCAAGGCAGCGTTGACCGCAAATCAATGGCAGCCAAGATGGCAGCCTTGGCTATTATCGAAATCACGTTGCCCGTTTGGTGGAGCACTCCGGTTCTTCGAGGGACCAGGCAAGCTCTTGCAAGGACACATTCTCCAACTACACAAGCTGATTGCAGCTTAAAATCAGCTGAACGTGGGTCAAAGGTTGCCAAAAAGTCTAAGCACTCAAGTTTCCTCATCCTCGGTCTTGAGGCCTCAGAATAGCTTCAATGGCTGCACGCTGTTTCCCTGAGATTCTTGCCGCCACATCAGCATGCTTGAGGCCCCGCACGCAGTCGGATCGACTTTTGGGTGCCTGTGTGGTTGCAGTGTGGATGCAGTAGTTTAGCCAAGCAAACTTCTTACTTCTTAGGCGCGGATTGCTCGAAGCAAAGACTTTTTGAGCTGGTTGTTTTGGGGAGAACAGGGAAAACAACCATAGAGGTCCGTATTTTGAGACAAACCCACTAGGTTTCCATGCTGCGGTGGATGCCCCAAAATTGTGTCTGCAAGTAAACCAACCACAAATCATTGCATACTTGCAATGTTGAGGACATCCACTGTAGGAATCTATTTTTATGTGCCGTGTTTGAGGGGTCCCCTCCTCTTGGGGGCCGTGACAACCATTGCAACAAATGGGTCAACATCAAAACTTGGTATGGAAAAGATGAATGAATCTAAATAATCCAAAGGGCGGTCGCAGCCATTTGTGGTTGGGAGCGTAGGGGGGGAGGGGTTGGAGACCCTCAATATCCCTCAATATGGGTGTGTCCAAAAATTGTGGTTGTGCGTTGGTTTCCCAAAAAGGGGCACCCCTAAATACAGACGAACCCACATCAATCACTTCAGCCAAAATTTCGCGGTAATTTACGTTCCCTGAGCACCCAAGACCGCATTCCTACAAACAGTTGGTTCTATGGTGGATGCCCGTGACATATCGGATGACATATCGCAAGTGAATGATTTAGGAAACCTTCAAACTTGACCGCAATTAACAATCGCTTTGTGTGGGTGGATGCTACTCTGGGCCGGGCTAGAATTCTATGAGACGAGTGTGGCCGCAAATCAGAGGTTGGGGAAGGATGGGACAACACGGCAAACTCCAGGCAGCACGCATGTGACTCTGCTTTCGGCAACTAAATGCACCTGCCATGCCATCGTCGAAAGATTCCGCTTGCTGACATGAGCTAGTTTCTCAGAGTTCGCATCTACAAAAGGAGACAGGACACCTGCCAGAAGTATCAACCCACTTGGCCCGCGAGAAAAAACATCAGCGGCTAAACAAGCAAGGTGCCTGTGAAAGGTCGCAGTGAAACGCCCTTTCCCGACTCCCAGAGGCCCCCCCGAAGGGAACGGGACCCAGCCTTTGCGGCCAAGCGACGCTGCCCAGGAGCCGCACCCAAAACCCCCCGGGCTCCGCAGTCTGCGAGCCTTCCTCCTCCGAGTCTGGCAGAAGAGCCCTCGGGCGTCACTTGCGATGCCCTGGGGGAGTTCCATGGGGAAAAAAAGGAATCGGCAGCTCTTCTTGGTTGGTGGACTTATTGAAAGGGGAAAGCCCGAAAACCAAAAAAAAGAGAACCAACTTCCAGTGCTAAGATCCCAACTGCTGCTGGAAAACATATTGTGAGAGGAATCCGGACAAGCGGTTCCATGTTCGCCGGAGTCCTTTCCCTTCGAATTTGGGGCATTTTGGCGCTGAAAAAACAGCGCGTCTCCGCGCCAAACGTATCAAGTCCGAGACGGAACTCAAGAGGTTCCGGAAAAACTGGAGCCTGGCAGAAGGAATCCATTTCTGCTTGGGGCTCCGCACTGTTCAACGATTTTCTGGGTCTCGAAGGAAAAAAATGGCTAAGAAGCTCTCGATGCTATGAGCCTGGCTTGCCTGCCCAATGCAGGCTCGAAAGGTTTTGGAAGCCCGTTGCTCAACAGAACCTCTCCCTTACACCGCAAAGATGAAAATAGGAAGTCTAGATTTGTTTCAGCAGAAAAACATCCCCTGATATCCTGTAGAAAAAGTGAGCATCTGTGGCCTTGAGATGATTTGGCTGAATAGCCAATGTTCAACTCTAGCTACGCTGCAAGCATGGGACATCCTGGGACCCATCACAAACTCTTCTTGAGGGAACCTCCGTTTTGGTTGCTTTTAAGGGGAAACCAAAAGGAAACCCCCGACATTTGTGGGGGTCCCTAATTTTAATTGACAAAGCCATTCCCCTTTGAAACCAATATATCCAAAAGTGGTTTCCCGACACGCGAGCCGCTGCCAACACCCCATTTGCGGGAGAGGTCACCTCCATTTGCTGAAGCCCCCTGGAAGAATCGATTCTCTGTAAAACCACAGGAGGAAAAACAATATCCTCAAGCAAACGGAAGGTAAACCAACCTGGCACCCCAAAACACTGTTTGTTTTTGGTATTGTATCGACAACATACGGGCTCTATACGGCCAAATACGGGCAACTAAGGCAAATGACCGAAAAATAGAGGAAAAAACAACTTACGGGTAAAAACGGGCAAAAAAGTTGCGTTTCGGGGCTCCAGGATTCCCCCCTCCCCCCAGCGCCCTGGTCAAAAGCCGAGGCATGGGCGTGACATACTTCCGCAAGGCCAGGCTGCTGGCTGGGCTCTGCGCCTCGGCTCGAACTCGTCTTGGGAGGCGCCTTTTGGGTAGTTTTGAGAAGCTCCCTTCCCGAGTGCGAGTGGGTGGGCCAAAAAATTGCACAAGCTTTGTTTTGCCGTCCAAACCCAAAAAAGTTTCAAGACCGAAACGGAAGGGAAACCAAAAGGAAGCCAACCACTCAAAAGGTGAATGTTGCACCGGAACGTTGACCCCGAATCGAAGAACCCGTCCTTCTGGGCTCATGGTCTGAATCCCCACGAAAGGGGGACACCCACCTATGAATCAAGGGGGCCAATTCATCCGGGTTCAAAATGATTCGCCAAAAAAATCCCTGTATCTCCCCTTTAAGCAACACCTCATTCAAAGGAGATGTACTTTTAAACACGCGACGTTTCGAGCCCCAAAAGGAGAAGCATGGAGAACCCTGCCATACCCTGGACCAAAAAAAAGATCTCAGAGCTTCCAGCTCGTAATGGGTGATTCCTAGATAGCCAAGTTAGGCCAAGTTGCGATCGCTTGTTGTCAGTCACTGTTGCTGGATTTGGGGGGTAAAGTGCCTGGCAGAAGCGATCGCAACTGGCGATCCAAGCTACCCTCTGGAACCAAGGCTTCAAATCTACACTCAAGCGAATCAAAACCACCAACTAAGCGTTACCAGGTTGTAAATGGGAGGGCCATAAACCTGGGGCCGGGAAAAAGCAACAAGGGCCCCCCCCCAAAACATGGCGGTGCTCCCTTCGCTTTTCCTTTGAAACCAACCAACAAATAAAAAGAGACACCACCCCCCCAATTTCCGCAATTTCCCCGGAGCCGGCAACAGGGAAACACCACCGCCGGGAACCAAACCTTTCTCTTAGGCCAAAGGCTCGGAATGGAGGGGGCTCATGGGGTCTTTGGCCTCCTCCTCCTCCAAATGGGCTTCCAGCGCCTCTTCGATCCGCGCCGCGTTCCGGAACTTGTAGCCTAGCAAAAGCAAGCGCGAGCAAGCGCAAGCAGGCGGTGGGGTCGCAGCTTCCCTGAAAGGCACCGTTAGTTCGTCTCACCTCGGATATATCTTTAGAAACTGTCTATTTGTTTATTTTATTTTTCCCCGAGGGAGCTTGGAATCCCAAAGTTGGCTTTTTGCCGCCAGGCACACAAAAACATGCGGGCTGTACTGCTCGATAGACTTAAGGAAAGGGGAGGCCAGCGAACGCTAGCGTCTGTGCAAGGGCGATGCTAACTCACTGTGATGGGTTGACAAGGCAGCAGCTTGGCGAGAAGAAGGATCAACAGCCAAAAAGCGCTCCTTCTGCACGAAAAGCAAGGCAACGCGCAAAAACAAAACACAGCAGAGTGCAATCAGAGCGCCTGAGCCTTACGAGCGGGGCACACAATGGAGGAAAGATAAATTTCTGAGTTGGTGGGGTCAAGAAAAAGTCCAAACTTTGCATCTACCACTCAAATGGTCGAAAACCCAAAACATTTCAAGTCCATGAGCCAGGACGTGAGAAAGAAAAGAGCGGAGCCAAGACGGAGCAGACCGGGGAGGGAGCGGAGAGCAGAGAAGAGCGGAGCGAAGAGGAAAAAGAGCAGAGCGCAAAGGGGAGAAGTGCGAACCAATGCAGCGAAGCAAAAGCCTGGGAGCTTTGCGGGCGGTCCAGGGCTCAGATGCCCAGTGGATCTCCATGGGGAAAAAAGGGCATGCTTTTTTTTGTTGGTGGAGTTCAAAGGGGAACCCTTACCCAACAAAAATGGAGAAAAAAAAAGGGCGCCAGGTACAGAAACGATGAAGAGCCCAATGTCTGGGCCTGCCAGCGCGGAGAAACTTGATATATCACAGAGTGGTGGGATTCACTGCCCAGCTAGCAAGCTAGCTTCGTGAGAACTCGTGGGGTTGTTCAACAGCAGAACCCGGCAGACCACTTGAGGCAAATTCGGTTTGACAATCCTATATTTCATCGTGTGCCTGAAAATCAGGTGGCTAAAAAAGGCTAAGAGGCCTTAGCCTACGTCTCCAAACGGACAATTGGGCATCCGGCGGCCGCTTCGGATATATACCGCTCCCGTGCCGTTTCCCCCAAAACGGGTTTGTTGCTTCCATCCCATTGTTCAACCCGCAATGCAAGGCGGAACAATGAAGGATACGATCGAACATCATGGTTTCATTCGCAACCCTGAGTTGACTGAAGGGCCCCCGCCCCCTCGATTTTACGGGCTGTATTCGGGCACTCCGATTTGCTGGCACAAACGATCAGAATGGGAAGCCGCCTGCAAGACAAGAAGACGTTTTGAGAGTGGTGTTTCGGTGACCCAAGCGCTGCGCCTATAGACAGGTATTGGATGCCATCGCTGGGTAGCCCGAGCATCCTCATCTGCGAGCGGAAGTACTCCTCGCGTGTGGCCCGGAGCCGCTGGAGTCCATCGAAATCATCGAAGCCAAAACTTCAGACCAGCGGGAGAAAAGGGAGCCCCGTTTTGGTAGTTATTCTAATGAGGGAACAACCCCTATGAACCATGTTGTTGTGGTGGATTGGGTACGAGTAGCTCACTTGCAACGCAATTGCTGAGGGACTGAGGGAATGACCCTTATAAACCGTCGAACTGGTGGTTTCCTTAAGGTGACCAAAGCCTGGGGTCATTTCCACATTCCCCTCGCATCAGCAAGGGGAAGCTTCCCCAATTTCGCCCCAATTTCGCCCTGGCAAAGATGCCCAAGCCAAAGACACGCCGAAGCCCGTGTTCAAGGGCACGTCCAGGTATGGTTTTTGGGAGGTACGGATGTTTACATTATACACCTGAACATTGCCTTGTAACTGGTGACTTCCCTTTATTTTGGTGGAAAAGGCCGTGTTTCAAATGGTTGCAAAATGTACTTTTAAGGAGCCCTCTATAAGTGGTACGGGAAAAACAAAACACACATCCTCCCACCGGCGTGGCGGTGGTAGGGCACCTGGAAGATCAGTTTCCTCTTGGAGCCCCACCCGTGTCAGGTGCCATGTTGGGAGAGAGGGTCACCTCGAGCTCCATACCACCAAAACCTATCCCCGGAAAGTCCATCGCGACCAAATGTTCAGCCAAGCCGCTAACAGCTCAAGCTTGTTGGTAGCTTCTGGCGGGAAGCCCATCGCCTCGACACCTCAAATCCAGAGCCATGCCGCAACAAAAATAAACACTTAGCATACCCAACCAATGGCTACAAATGTCCCTGGAAACTTGAAATGGGTGAAAGAATTCGGGTTCCTTCGGCTAAACGATGCTCGCTATGCTGATTGAAATGATGAAGAGCAAAAGTCACCCTGCTTTTTCAACACACATCCTGTTTGCTGAACCGCTTCTTACCTCTTGGCCTCTGGGCCGGAGTCGCAAAACAAAAATAGAGTCAACTTTTTTACGGTTCCCACCCAGCCACCACCCCTGCATGTCCAATTACTGTGTGAATATGTGTTTTGACTCCGTGCAGACCCCCTTGAGTACACTTGGACCGAGCCCCCGGCAAAATGTCAAATTCAAGTTCAAAGGTTTGTCTCTAGGTGTTGAACAAACAAGTGATGTTGCCCACATATTCGCCTCGGCCCCAAAGGGGCCAAGGGCGCTCAGATCTCTTCTCAAGAGAACCTCCCCAACCAAAATTTTGCCGGGCCGCCGCCCCCCCCACCCCCCCCCACCCATGTCGGCTGGCCCAAAATCCTGTCCGGCGGGCCTTGAAATTTTGGGGGTTCGTCGGCGTCCAGCTCCATGGGTCCATTTTTGTACGAAAATGTGCTGACAATTGCGAAAAGCACTAAAAAATTGCTTTTTTGTCCTGAAAAGCATGACCTCCTGCTGGCCAGGCCTGTCTGACGTGTCTGAGACTAGGCTCAGGCCCAGCCCAACCAGCAACCCGCCTGCTGGCCAGGCCTGTCCCACCCAACCTCAGGCCCAAGCTTGTCTGAAACAGGCCTAGCCCAACCAGCAACCCGCCCAAGCACGGCCCCAAGTCATCCAGCAAGCCCGAGCCCAGGCCCACTAGGCCGGCGCTCCCAGCCCACCAGCAGGCCCAGCCCAGTGCCAAGGTCAGGTTTGTCTAACGTGTCTGAGACTGGCCTCAGGCCAACGACCAGTCTCACGTGTCTGAGACTGGTCTCAAGCTAGGCCAGCTACTAAGCCTGTCTGACGTGCCCCCCGGCTAAGCAGCCCAGGCCGACCTCCTGCTCGCATCTGGCCCCAAGTCATCCAGCAGGCGCAGCCCCTTCGGTCTGGGACTGGTCTCAAAGTATGCCCAGCCCAGTCCTGCTGGCGTGTCTTACGTGTCTGCGACTGGCCTCAGGCCCAGCCCAGCCACCCAGCCTCAGGCCCAAGTGTGTATGAAACAGGCCTTGCCCATCCAGCAACCCGCCACAGCCGGCAGCCAGCAACCCTGTCTGACGTGCCCCAGCCCCCCAGTCCGGCTGCCCAAGCAGCTCAGCCCAGGCTGACCAGGCCTTGACCTCCTGCTCGTGTCTGGCCCCAAGTCATCCAGCAGGCCCAGCCCCTTCGGCGTCTCAAGGTATGCCAGCCTGAGACTAGCCTCAGGCCCAGTCCCTCAGCCCGCCTGCTGGCGTGTCTATTGGGGGATATTTTTCCCGGGTACTTAAGCAAATGGAGGTTTGTATTCCCACCATGTACCTGTCTTGGGCTGAGCAACCGAGCAAGAAATGTGTGTCATGGCAAGCCGCCAGCCACGTGAAATGGAGGTGCCCAAACACCCAAAGTTGGTCTTGGTTGTTCAGTGACACCAATTATTGTTCCCCTTTTTATGGAGGCCAAGCCCCACTAAAAATGCTCATCCCCAGAAAGAGGTCCTTTTTTTTCCAAGGGCACTGAGCAGCTGAGATAGTCTTGGTTTTGGATTTCAAACCTTCCGAGCAGGACGGCTTCCGAACATCGAACTAGCACGGGCGAACTGGTGCGGTCACAAGCTTTCAGTAGGATTCGGACCTTCCCAACACTGGATTTCGGTGTTCCTGACCCTTCCCTCAAACTAGGCTGGGCCGAGGCGGGCAACGCGAAGCGTTTACAATTAATTAACCTCGGCTTATCAATATAGAGTTCTTATAGGGATGTTCCTCTCCAATAGTGATGATTCCCCACATTTCACCCAGAAACTTTCGGGTCAACGATTGAAACTATATTAAGCACCAAGGCCGTGAAGCCTAAGTGGAAATGCTACATCACCTGATTGGCCGAACGATGCATTGGTAGCAAAATGCGAAGCTTCTGGGGCCCCCTATAAGAGGACACACCCTTCAAAATGCAACCCCTTTCCCTCACCTCCGATCGAGTGGATTGGCCAAAAAGTCCAAGCTGTTGATTTTTACCCCTAGAATTGTTTTCCCAAACATGGCAAGTCCAGGGACTCGAGAGGTATAAGGCTTAGTTCCAGGTGCAGTAGTAGTGGAGGCAAATGTCTCCGGAGGTGTCGTGGGTCATCCGGGTCCAATGGACGCTTTGCCACACCAGGAATGCTGCCGTCATCAGAGCCGCGCCTGAGAGAGCCCAACCCGCCACCGCCAAGAAAGTACATCAAACCACAGGAAGCCCAAGAAGAAATCCCAAAGTCTGGAATCCGAGTACGAGGAAGCTCAAATTCGTGTGTGTTTTTCTGCGCCACCGTAAATGAGCCGTTAAGAAGCATGTGCCCTCACATCAGCCCACCAAAAGAACCAGCCGAAATTGCCCAAGTGAAGTTGCCCAAGAGGAAATCGTCACACTACCAAAAAGAGAGCAATGCAAGGATCCTTGCTCCTGGCTCCAATCACCCAAAATGCGCATATCAGTCCCGAAGGTTCGAGCGCGCGCCTAAATAACTGGCGGCGGCCCAGTGTGTATGGAAGGGCACATGGACGTCCGGGAGTTTGCACATGTAGGCCATGCTGGGATCCTGCAAGCGATTTGACTAGGAAAACAGGGAGTGCTTTCTTTTGGCTGGGTTGAGCATGTTTACAAAGCAAGCCAGAAAGCAACGGACTCAAACCAAAATTCCAGGACCAAACCAGTCATTGGGCACTGCAAGTAACTCAAGACAAACTTGCTGGTGCTCAGTAGGAGATGTGGGAATGACCCCAAAGGTACCCTCAAGGGAAACCACAAAAACAGGGTTTATAAGATTCCCTGCTGAGCACCGGCAAGCAAAAGGAGCAATTTTCCCTGGGTTGGGCATGTTTACAAAACAAGCCACAAAACAAGACGGATTCAAACCCAAATCCCAGGACCAAACCACTTGCCTGGGCAATGAGCCATGAAGCCAAATCAAGGGCTCTAATCAAAACAAGGTCAATCACCTTAAGGCAATCTGCGTTCAATGGACAATCCTCATCCACGGGAACATGGTGGGGGGCCCTGCGATATGCCTCGTTGCATTCCTTAGGGGTAGGATCAACCAAGCCACTCGCCAGCAATGAAGGGGTCCCGCAGAAAACCTTTCTGAAAGGGCTGATGCTCCCTAGTAGCCCTCGGCAGCTCCGGGTTTGCTGTGCCTCACATATTCGGCCATAAAGCCAAGGAAACACACTGCCTAACTCTTCGGGCAGTTGTGCGCCAAATGACCTTGCCAAAACTGGCAGCCTCACTCTTGCTGGCCGATGGTTAGCAATTGATGAGCACTAAAAGCATCGCGTCCGCTCCAAGAACCACATGAGTGTGACTTGTTGCTGGCCTGGGTTGCGTCTCAGTTGGACACCAGAATACATTTATTAGGTGGGTGGGGTGTTGGATCCCCAAAAAACAGAGAAGCCCCAAAGAAGTTGCGGTCTTCTTTCCGGCTTCCCTACACACCCAACAAAACAACACGGGCGGTTTCCGGGAAGCCAACTCCCCCCCTCCCAGTCCAGCAACTTGGCGTGCCAAGGCGGCGCCAGCGCCAGCGCCAAAGCACTCAGCCACAAGCCCAGCGCCCCCACCAGGCTGAACCTTGGGAAAAGGATCGCGGCGCGAATCGGCGAATCTGTGGATCCACCCCTCGGGCGAATATTGAGAGGACTGCAAAAATTACAAAGGAACCGACAGGGGAATCAACAGGTGAAAACCACGAAAGGCGGATCCATTCTAGAAGGATGCGAATCTCTTCTTGCTGTTCGATACGCGGGGAATTCCGTTGAGGGAATGGTTCTCTGAAAAAATAACTCATGACCCGAAAAAAAAAACAGACAGAACAACAAATGTTTGTTTTTATTCTTTGAGCTTCCCTCAAAAAGGGTGCGGGGGTTTGGAGGTTCCAACTAAGGTTTACCTGATTCTTGCTGGTTAGATAAAAGAAAAACCATCCAACTGTTGTTTTCCTTCAGGAATGAGGAATGGAATGACCCCACCATCCAACTGATGTTTTCCTTTTAGGGAATCCTCAAAGGGTTCACCCCCAAAACCCGGTCTTGGTCATTCCCAACCTATGCCAAGAGGTGGTTTCGAAAGATGGGCGCAACAATTCGGGGAATCAACCTCAGATCAGACCCATCCTTAGGCAACATGTCTGCAACAAGCTCACTCTGTTCTGGTAAGGGCAAATGAACGAAAGCCAACCAGGCAAGCAAAACAGCTGTGATGGCAAGCCCTTGGCCAATCTTGGCCAACTATGCTGTGATGCCATCTATGTCTAGTCAACGGGCCCGAATGTTTTTAAAGCTGGCATCCTTTAGCACATATACCTGACATGGCAGGGCCAGACTTAGACTCATTGCAACAAGCTCACTGTTTGTTGGGAAGGGCAAATGAAGCGAAAACCGAAACGTCAGAAAGCTGTGATTAAAATGGCAAGCCTCTGGCCTGCAATGATACTACCATGTTCTTACAGAACTGTTGGTAGCTCCTTAGCTCCCTTTGTAAATGCAAATTTGGATACCCCCAGCTCCTTGTCTCCCTTCCAAGCACCAGCTAGGACAAGGGTAGAATTTGGCCCCTTTCTTGCGGCTTTCAAGGGAAGCTCTCTTCCCGAGTTGATGGGGCCAAAAAAGTCCAACCTTTTCGCTTGCCACTAACCTGATCCAAACCCAAGAGTTTCAAGTCCAGGAACTCGGGAAGTGAGCGAACCCCACAAAAGCCACGCCGCCGCCCTTTTGGGGAGCTTTTCCAAAAAAAACGGACGCGCCCTCAATTTCTCGGCCTCGGCGGAGGAAAAAAAGGCGGCCGAGCGGCCAGTTCATGCACAGCACCTGGCCGGGGCCACCGATGGGCGCAGCGCCCTCGCTGTGGCGATGGAGCCGGGAGCACAGCGGGTACTGCGGGCGCCCGTGGACCTGTCGTCCGGCCGGGTTCCTGGGTCTTTGGCCAAGTTCATAACCTAAGTAAACCCCGAGTCTCACTTCCCACTGCTTCCTGGACTTTAGCGACTATTGAAATGGGTTTTCACCAGTTTAGAGGTAAACAAAAAGTCTGGAGCTTTCTTTGGCCCATCAACTCGTCGGGAAGTGAGGCTTACAACTTTCCTAAGTGGAGGTAACCTGGATACAAGCGGGTGATACAAGCGGGTTATATACATATATCTTCAGGTAGCCGACCACGTGCTAACTTGGCCGAACATCCAAGTAAGCAGGAGACATGCTCAGCTCACCTCAGAATTCCCCGCTAATGCTCGTTTGAAGGACCCCTCAAAAAAAACAACAACAACGTGTCTCTTGAAAAAAGCCTTCAAAATTATCATTTTGTGCCAGATTGAAGTGAATTGGCACAGCTCAATAAAGGCATGGCTTTGCCCAAATGCAGTCAACGACGATTCTGTTGAATGGACCTGTAATCACGCTGAAAGGTCGCAAGCGACCTGAATCTGCACAAATGATTTTCGTGGATTGGATAAGAACATGGCTGGCTTGAAGACGGAAACCCTGCTTGTGGCAGCCTTGCGCTTTTATCTCGCCTGTTTGCCACGTCTACGGCCTCACGTGGGCTTGGAGTCGCCTCTCTGAAGAAAACAATGTCTTGTCGCTCCAGAAACTGCCGAGACTAGACGAACACATGGGCAGGTTCAATGCACCCCGCCAGTTTCCAGACCTGCCATTCGGAGCAAGGCGCATAGTTATTCCTCAGCTTTGCCCGCCATCTGGACATGTAGCCCGCCTCGCGGAGGCCGCTTGGTTCGGGCTGATTCAACTAACCCAAAATGGATGCCCTCAAAGAAAGACACACCATTCCCCCACACACATCCACAGGCATTGTCTGGCTCCGTCTTGAGGTCTAATTAGGCTGCCACTCGTTGCGACCGGGTCTGACATAGAACATCAAACCACCGATGACGCTGCTGCGACACTCTTCTTAAGTTCAGAGCCTGCAAAGGGTGGTGCCCCTTAGACCTCCAACCTGGCGGGCTTCTGCCGCTGAACTGGGTGCAAAATGGGCGGGCTAGGGAAAGACACCGGTTGGTGTCCGCTTGGATACAGAATATGGGCAATTTTGCACGCACTCAGTATGGTACTCCCCCGGGCCTTGCCTGCAAACCAGGATGTGAAATACCAAGGCCAGGAGCTTTGTGTTCTCCCTTCCCTGGAAATCCCTTCCCTAAATCTAAACACGACCCCCTAATGAAACAAAAACACTGTTTTCCCGCAACAAAGATTTTTACCTATTTAAGAGCCCCAGGTTGTTATTGTTTTCGCGGGGGAAGTAGTTTGAGTTGTAGCAGAAGTTCCTTCCCGCGGCGCGGTTAAAAGAAGCTTGTTTGTGGCTTCTGAAAGGAATGGATCGGGGGGGGGGTAATGCGGCTCGAGTTGGGGTCACGAGGGAGAATCGCTAGTTTAGTATTGGGGGCCCCTTATTGCTAGGAAGAAGGGATTCATAGGAACGGGTCGGCGTCACCATCAAGTGGCCGGTTTCCGTTTGGCGTTGCTTCGAAACCATCCACACATCCCCCTAGCTTGAAACTGAGCATGCTTCTAGGTTTTAAGGCCATACCATAGGCTTTGTATGATTGCCAAAGAAGACAAACAACGAGCAACATAGATGCTAGCAGAAACAAACCCGCGGGGACTTGCGTGCTCGCTTGCTGTAGACGCTTGTGGTGCCCTCCTAGTGTGGCGTAAGCCAACAGGTTGAGGATTGCGTTAACCCACGCTTTGCAGTTACAATCCTTGACCAACACCCGACTCAAGGTTCCTGCACGGAGGATTTCATGGGGCAAGTTTCCCACCATATCTGGCATGGGTCTAAAATAACCCCAAAAGCCGGGAGGGCCGAAACCGTGATTTCATGGACGTAAACATGCTGGAGGCATAATCCGCTTAAACAAACTTCTTCAGGTTTCATCTAAAGTCCTAAAGGGGATCATGGCCTGAGTATTTAAACCTCGATCAAAGAAAGCGCAACAGTGGAGCCACCGTTTGATTCGCAGCCATGCAATCCAGAACCTTTGCCTTGAGGCTGGTGACGTTGGTAGTCTCCCGGCAGTGCGCTGACAGCAGGTCAAGGCACCTAAGGCCCGGGTGTTGACCCAACATGTCAGGCAAACTCAGGAATTCGTATCCTCTGTTGGTTTCCTTTGGAACAAACAGAAAGGCTAGTTGGTCCATGTCCGCTTCCTTTGGGCAACCATACAACCATTGGTAAGCCAATATCTCATCCGTTTTGTGGCGCTGAGCACCAAGACGCAAGGGCATTTGCTGGAGGTGTTCCGCTCGCCCTGGATTCAAGCGATATGTGTGTTGCAAGGAATCTACACTCGTAGTGGCAGCTGGGACGGGCCATTGCTATGGCAGATCCTCTCGTTTCAAAGAAAATCAACATGCGGCAGAAACAGGCTTGTTCCAAATACAATTCGCAAGTGCCACTGCAACACCAACAGGAAAGTCACATCCAACAATTACCAATTCGAAGCACACACGGCAGGAAATTCTCGTCCGATTCAAAGCGATGGAAGTATGGTTGAACCAACACCAGCAAAGGCAGAAGAACTGTGCCAGTCTCAGATCTCCTGCGAAAGCTAACGTTTGATGGGCGCAATGGAAAATGAAGGGTAGCAAAACAAGCAAGCAACTTGTTAACCCTGTGGTGCCCCAATATTCCAAACCACAGAAGTGAAAGCGGAACAAGCGACTTGGCCTAATTGGTCCCCCTGTTGCATTAATTGGCCAACGTTCAACCTTTAACGTAGAATATAAATCTGTACTTCCACGATCATTTAAACAAGGGGCAAAAATATAAAATTATGCCGAGGTTGACCCGGACCAAACCTGGAATTGAAGTGGTCTACCCAAAGCCAAGTTATAAAGTCACTAAGGCGGCAGACAATCCGGAGGACTTTCCCAACTGCATCCACTCCTTGGTTTTGAGGATGTGCCGTGGACGCCCCGATCCCATTTTTGCAAGTGGCCCACAATGGCAAATGACAAATATCATTACCCTCGCCAAGAACAAAAAACAAACATCAAACCTGCACAGCAGTACAGGTTCCTGGCTTGAACAATCTTCCCTAGAGTCCTTCCGTCAGAGGTGATCCTTGCTCCCTCGCCACGGAGACTGAAACTTGCATTTGAGTTGCAAACTGATTTGTGTGGTGATACCCTCCCAGCAACTAACATGGAACCGGACAAAGGGTTTAAAAGGAAAAATGGTTCAAACCAGAACCCCCCTCTCGGGTTCCATGTTAGTTGGTGGGAGGATAGATTCCCTTTAAAACCAGCAAGACAACATATTAAGCCAATGGAAGGAAAAGCCCTTCTCGAAGCCGAGACGCAGCCAAAGAACCAAAAAACACAGCACGAGGCCCACGGCCGCATAGGCCTTTCTGTCCTTCCAAATGCCTCGGTCCGAAAACCCGCGAAACCCCGCTGCCCAGTGGAAACCAAAGCCATGGGGATCTCGTCTCCAGGAGACCTTTTGGAACAACTGCGTTTTACCCCTGGTTTGGGACCACCTCCAAGAGAAACCTCAGCGATGTCTTCAACGCACCGTTTCCAGGGAGGGCCAGGACCTTTTTGAGCGAAGAAGCTTCTAGGCAGCCCATTCATGGTTCCAGTAGAGTCGCGGATGGGTCAACCTTCAGGGAACCCCACCCACAAGAACCCATGCTATGGCTACCTCGCCCTTGGCCTCCGAACAAAATCACATTGTTCACTCTGGTCGCTCTGTTCCATGCTTCAAATGGCTGCGGCTCAAAAAACCGGTACCAAAATGGAACCCTGGTAAGTCGAAACATGGACCAAAACCTGCGGTTTGCCCCCCCCGGTTTTAAATTTTGAGCCACAGCCAAATCAAAGTACTTCTTGATGTTGCACGATCGTCCGAAGGCCCCCGCTTCTTCAGGGTCCTTTCGAACCGAGTTCGGGACGCTGAGGGACCAAGTGCGCGACCTTTAGGGAGTTTGGGGGTCGCCATTTTTTGTTTAAGGCGCAGCAACTGACGCAAAGATCAAATAGGTCCTCCAGTAGAGAGGATAGAATATTTTTCTGTAGTCTATTTTAGTAGGGTTCCGAACCCTCCAACCCAAAAATTTGGTAAAGTTGGTAAACAGTTGGTAAACAAGTTGGTTTTTTGGGGGACCCAGACCAAAAAATGGCCATCCATTTTTGCCAAGGCAAACCCGATCCCATCCGAAGCCCGGGCGTCCCCGCACCGCCCATCCGCGGTCCGGCGGAAGCCGCTGCCGCAGCTTCGGCAGCGCTGAGGCGACTCGCAGAGGTCGCAGCCCGCCACGTCGCAGCTGGCGCAGCGCCAACGGCCCTCCTAGGCGAGGGAGGTCAATGGGACACCCCTATGGGGTTGTGATTTCTGGGCTGCGCATTTTCGGAACAGGATGCTGAAAGTTTAACTTTTAGTGGGTTGCATGGAAATCCCCACTAAACCCTAAAAAGCTAAAAGGCTCAGGGGATGGCTCACCAAGATTTATTGATGGCATTACCCTTGTCAGGGCTTGGCGCCAGGGTGGGGTCCGATTGACGCCTTTGGGACTGGCTTGGCATACCTCCAGGACGAAGACTGCACTTGGTAATGATTTATAGCTCACTTCCTCGTGCCGCATCAAGTTTACATGTGCATGAAATCAGCAAGTGAGCTATAAAACGGACCCTGAACTGAAGGCCAATGCCAGTGCGCGGCAAGCCTCAATTTCTGAAGCGAAGCCTCGCGGTAGGAAGGCACCACACATCGAGCCGTTGATGCAAATGTGTCTGGCAGCGAGAGGCTACACTCTGCGATAGCTTCTAGATGGGTGTGTCTTGTTTTTCGGGGACGCCCAACATTGTTCAACCACAAAAGCAGGTACAATCAAACAACGACCCCCCCACATCAGGGTCCTATTGCTAGAAGGGTTGTTCCCTCCACAAGCGGCCTGAAGCCCAACCAGGGGTTGTAGATCCTGGGTTCCCATTTCGAAGATGGCTACATCAAGGTTCCTCATAGACCAATGTTCAACCCTCGCGGTTTGGTCATCCACACCTTGCCCCGACTCCCCGCCCTTGAGGGCGGCACGGCTCTCTTCCAAAAAGGCCAAAGACGGTTTCGAAAATTCGCCCCGGAAAAAAGAGCGAAGAATCACGGGCTGAAGGACTCAACAGCACTGCACGAACTCACTGGAAAAGGACTGACCAACTGACGGATTGAGCCTCTGACTTGGTAGCAAGCGCAGTGGTCAAGCCAACTTCGGGCGGCTTGCACCTCACATTTAAGGTGTCCAAGCCCCGTTATGGCGTCCCCTGTTTAGGGCTCTCTGAGAAAGGGAAACCCTGGGGTTGATTCCGAGCTAAAGTGGAGAACCAAACAGGGAAAACATCTCTACTCTTGGTATGGTAGCAAGAAACATGTTTTTTGCAAACCCCCAGTAAAAATGAACAGAACCAAAAAACTGAAAAACAAAAAACATGCCAAGAACAGTGAAGAAAAGGGATTGAATCTTCCAGGAACACGTGGAATCCAGCCCCGGGGCCTCCTGTCCGGCCCAACGCCGCATTCCAATAAACTCGCGCATTTCGCTGGGCATCTCGTGCCTAGGCCGCCCGCCAAATCAGAAGCTGGATTTACTTGAGAGGCGGGCGAAGGAAAGCTAGCCAGCCCAACAACGACATGTACGGCCCAGGAGTGGCCAATGATTTAAGAATAGCAACATTTATTAGATGAAAGTCAGTGAGACCCAACCTTGCACCGCTGCAAGGCAAATGGACGAGACTATGGGAACATGCTCGTGCGGGTGGGGGGAGCAGATCACTGCACATCAACGAAAGGAAGAACTGGAAGGGTTGCAAGCATACCTGGAGTGTCCATGACCCTTCAAAAATGGGGTCATGATCCTAAATAATGGGGCCATGAGCGTATTAAGGGTCATGAAGACTCCAGGTACATCCCAGCCTGTGTTTCGATCTTTGGGCTTGGACACCCTGATCCGAGCTTTCATGTTAATTTGCGGGGGAGTCTGATGCACATGAGGCACGGCAAGGATCCAGCGACTTTGCGGCATCATTCTGGGCACTTGGTCCAGAGTCCACAGGATCACAATATTTCGCACCGAGTTTTTGGAATCGGGGGGGGGGTCCCCGGGTAGAGATATGTTCTTCTGACTCATGCAGTTTGAGGCCCTTCCTCCCTCCCAGTTTGAAGCTTTTAGTTGAGAGAACTCCTGCTAGCTTCCGTGAAGGACTCCCACTCAAAGGGGTATGTTCATTCGGGATTCCATTGAAGTGGAAAAAAGGGACGGGAATGAATGCATCGGCATCCTGCCCAAACGGCCTTCCAACGAAAGAGACGCAAAACGCAGAAAGGAACGAAGGAACCAGCGATCGGACGCACAAGCACACAAACAAGCAGCCAGCCAGCCAGCAAGCAAGCAAGAAAGCTTGGCAAGCAAGGCAAAAAAAGAGAGAGTCAAGCCAACCAAAAACGGAAGCAACCACATGCAAACAAACAAACAAACACTCATACAAGCACCAAATACACAAACAGTGAATTACACAATCACACAAAACCTGATGGTTTCTCATATTCACCCCAGGGAAACCGACGTTCATTTTTTGCTTGTCCCAGGCACTTGAGGAATTCCCCGAGAAGCTCTCCTCACACCTGGAAGCAGTTTGCTCGTATGCGACGCGCAGATCCGGAAATTTTCTTGGCTCCCCGGAGCTCTCACTTCCCGAGTTGGCCACCTATAAACTAGGCTGGAATTAGGACCCCAGCAAACAATTATCATTTTTGCCTGGTTAGTGGAAAACAAGGAAACCCCAAAAAAGCAAAAAAGCAAAACAGCAAAAAGGGGAGCTAATTATGGTGAAGTAAAGACATTGAGCCCGCTTGTATCAATGAGGCCTCCCGAAAAAATTCCCCAACAAACATCACCCCAACCAAAAAACACTCACCTTTGGGCCAAAAAGGCGATGTTTAAATCCGCCAAAAAGGGAAATAGAGGGAACCCTGATCAAGGCTAACCCCACTTAGGAAAGATGTAAGTTGTACGCCTCACTTCCCGAGTTGGCGGATGGGCCAAAAAACAAAGGTAACCACATTGTTTTTATGTACCGCTAAAATGGCCACCAAACCCAAAAAGTGCAAAGTCCATGGACTTAAACCAGCCATGCCCCCACGGAGCTAAAAGGTTTGCGATCACCGGGGGCCATGACACAAAACATGACCAACACTGGGAAAAAACTGGGAAACCAACAGGCCCAAGGTCGATTCGCTTTGGGCAAGTAAGCCAACCAAAAGGGCCTCCCCCCAAATCAGGTACGCCCACCGGGCGCATTGAAACCTCCCGTTGAACAACGCTTGTCTGATGAAGATTACGAATTCAAGCTCATTTGCGGCCTATCTCCCACAAGCCGGCCAGTTGCGGCTTCATGGCCCTTATCAAAATGTGCGATATCTTCCTGTTTTTTTTCCCCTTTTTTTTCTGGAGATCTCAGCAACAGTATCCCCCCTTTGCGACGTCAGTTTCAACCTTTCCTTTCGCTCTTTCTGGTTCAATGGCCGGACTCCGGTTGGCTCAGGGATGACCCGCTCCCAAAGAATTGGGGAACCGACCCCAAGTTGGACGAAAGCCCTATGATACGAGAGACCAAATACATCAGCACCTGAATCTGGTTGAACATCCGCGTTGGGGGTAACCTGGCCCGCTCATAGCATGGCCTGTTGTTCAATGTAAAGGCTATGGCCGAACCACTGGGAGCAGAACCGCGGGCGAACCAAGCTGGCCATAAGCTGGCCAACTTCATTGCCAAGTGGCATTCCAGTCGTATGTACTAGGGGGCTGGGGGTCCCTCCAAAAGGAAGGTCTGATTCCCCGCATTTTCACCCAGGGAAACCCCCGCCTTTCTAGCCAAGCCACGCAGGATGCGCCACTTGGGAGCCAGCAAGCGTAAGAAAACACGCCCATGGAATGCCCGCACCGCGCATAACAACGCGCGCAAGCAGGGCTCTCTCTTGATACTTCCGGGTGCAACATTGCCCAAGCGGAAAGCTGCCGAACATACTTCTTTGCATCTTGTCTACAGAAAGGCTGAAGAGCCTTTCTTTCCTCTCCGGCATGTGATTCAGTATGACCATTTTGCTAGCTGGTTTGTGGTTTTTGGTGGTGTAGGATGGCCATCCACTTCCTGCTCATTTGCCCCCAAGAGCCAAAGGGCTGCAAGTCGGCAAAGAACTCCAAAGGAAGTGCTGCCAGCTCTAGATATGCTGGAAAACTGTGTCGTCCTTTTTTTGGTGTATGCGGAAATGAGTGTGCGTGTGTGTGTGCAAATTTTACTATACACCCAAAAGCTTAATTTAGGGATCCCCAAGTAAAGGACCTGTATCATGGCTTTCGCTCGGTATACCCCCGAATCGGTGAGCTCGGCACATCTATGCCTGTTCCGCATTGCATTGCGAATGGGTTCATGCCACTCGCAATGGACGCAGGTCCCACCGGCGTGCTGAATGAATATGTGGGTTCGTTCCCGCACATTGAAAAAGACACCTATATCGCCCTGGAAAAAAGGGATGCACCAGCGAAGGAAGGCAACCCTGCGTGAGCTCGAAGCCAAGGCACCCTCTTGCTGCTTTTTGCCGTTTGGCCCCCTTTTTTTAGACAGTTCCAGTTTGACACCTTGTGGCTTAATCACTTCCGGGGAGAAGTCAGAATGCATTCGGAGGCAGCCAGAAACACATGGCCACATGGACAATTCATCCCAGCTCACTTCTACGGATAGGAAAAGGGCGATCAACTACAAATGTCTCCTGCTGGTTTCCGAAAGTAACGGTGAGAATTGTGGCAGGTCGGCCTTCCTTTGCAGCCGCAAGAAGGACTGATGCAGTGAAACAGGACCTGATTGGCAATTTGTTGTCCTTTGACTAGTTGGGGTACTGCCCCCCCATTTTTCGGTAGCACTGCCCAACCCAACTTGACAATGCCTCTAATCTTCCACAATGTACTGCAGGGGCGAAACAACCATAATGGGATGGTGAGGTTTTGCAAGACCAAACTAAGTCACCATAGGATACATATGTCAGCACCTACCATTGAGGTTCCGGGCACCCCTCGACCTCCTCCTTGCAGCACTGCTCAAAGGTAAAGCCAGCCCGCCTCAGCCGGTTTTCGATAGATTCCCTTTCGAACTAGGGGTGATCCCCCCAAACAGTGAGCGGCTCCTGAGATTCCATGGGTTTGTGTCAAAATAAGAATCGGACCCCCAACAAGGGGTGGTGTCATTTTGGTTTCCCTTTGACAAAGGCTTTTCGACTAGGGTATAAATATCAGCTTCCCTCTGATTGGAGTTTGGGTTGGTGGTTTGGCGGTTATGAGTGGTTTCCCACAAGAACCAGAGGTTGCATCCCCACCAATCCAAACCAACACTTGAACCACCAAAAGGCCTACCTGAATTGGGGGGTGCGGAACCCCGCCCCCCCCCCCCTTCCAAATGGTCTCCAATGAGCCCTTTCTCACCGCACGGGCTTTTTCCGGCTGGCTCGCTTTTTCGGGCGTCTGGCGATCCTTGAGGTAGGTGCCTGAGTCTGATCCAGGACTCTCAACCACAAAGGCCGAAATCATTCACAGGGGCTGGGGCAGCTTTGAACCAAAGCCATCAAGCCTGAGACTGTAATCTCGCCCCTCGTATTGTGAACCTTCAAACACAGAATTGCTCAGGCCCCTTTTTCGAAGAGGACACTTCCCAATGGAGTGTTGTTTCA